CTATTACACACTTCAGCTCTTTATATAGCGTTTCCAACAGCCCTCCCCCCAGCCGGTATCAATCAGGGCTCACACACGTGCAGCGGCCAGGCAGAGTGTAGCTCATAGGCACGTAGCAAGATCATCAGGCTGGCAGCACCTGTTTTGGCCTCTCCATACTTTGGAGTAAGCAAGCGGGAATCACGAGCCTTGGCAATCAGCCAGGAGTTGGAGTAAACAGCACGAGGTTTGGCAGCCAGCCAGGGCGCCATCTGGCTGACTCAGCTGTGCTCGCTTCCCACAGCTGTTAAGGAGACTAACTACGGTCCAAGATAATTTTGCTGCTCAGCCTGCAGCATTCCACCTCTCCATGATCACCAAGTTCTACTCAGTCTTAAGAATCTTCAACATAGATGTTGCTTTCGAGGGATCTTCAGTTCATACCTAGGGATGGGATTTGAGTTAGGGCTTAAACATAAATCCAAGATCCTAAAATCACATTTTTCTTTTTTGGTCTATACTTGGCTAATTGATTAACCTCGCCTATATCTTCTCTCTTCCTTGTAATTAAATTTAGGATGTCTCAGAATTTTTCTATTATCATCAGCTACACTACTAGCTTGCATCCTGTCTGGGCCCTTTCATTGCCAAACATCCAGAAACAACTTTTAAATGCTCTTTATTGCATCCTATTAGGAAGAGTAAAATAAAAAAAGTGGAAAGGGGTGTTTGGCTAAGAAACTTGGTAAAACATGGCTCTAAACTTCTGCAATAGCCACAAATCTAGCCTCCAAGTCTTCCTCAGACTCTAATATAGAGGAAAAACCTTTACTTGGATATATAAAGTGGATAGCTTGCATTCCCTGCCCCCAACCCAATAATGGTAGGAATGAATAATAGTGGAATGCAGAGATGGCTCAGTGGTTAAGAGTACTGACTGCCCTTCTAGGGGACCTGGGTTCTAGTCACAGCAACCACATGGTTAACAATATCAGTAACTTCAGTTCCAGGGGATCTGATGCCCTCTTCTGACCACTGCAGGCATTGCTTGACCTAGATACCCTTGCATACATGTAGGCAAAATGCTCATACACATAAAAATAAAAATAAAAAAATTTAAAGAATGAATCATAAACATGGTGAAATTTTAGTAAGGAATTATTAGTTCCCATTTACTTCTACTCATTACTTCCCACAAGAGTGGTTTCTGCTAGGTCAAAATAGCAGGTGAGACTGGGAAAGTCAATGTGGCAGTAACAGCCAGGTGAGGGGATCAAAGCTTCCCGAACCCTTCTCCAACTTGCTTCCTTCCTTCTGCTCTTGCCCTGCTTCATGTGAGGAGAGTGCTTACCAACCCATGCAGAAAACTAATTTGAGTTTATGATTAGATCATTCTGTTGAAGTGAAGGGTAAACTTGCCATTTCACCATGAAAGCTGACTATAGGGAACAGACCACGAAAGATCAGCTGGAGAAAAAAGGCACATGAATTTATTAGAGTGCAAAAGCACAGAGGAGATCATGGGGCCATGATTACCCAGGCACCCAATAGCTTTCATTATAGGGGAGGTGAGGAGGTAGGAAAATTGAGATGTGCAAAAGTTATGAGGTGGTGAAGGTGGAAATTGACTGTGCAGAGTGTCTTTATGCAGGTCAAGTCTCCTAGGCAGTCTCCCAAGCTGCCCTTGGCAAAAACCAAGAGTGTGTCTGCAGGAGCCTTTCACTCCCGCTCTTCCTCGGTGCTTGGCCTTTACTGGTTCCTTACTGGGATTCCTAGGAGAGAGGCTGAAACAATTTCGTTGACAGTTCTTTCCACCAGAGGGAGTGGTAGGAGGGATTAGAGTTTAGATACTGATTGTTGTTTGCTTGTTTGTGAGGCAGAGTCTCTCACTATGTAGCATGGACTGGCCTGGAATTCACTATGTAGACTAGGCTAGCCTCAGCCTCACAGGGCTCTACCTGCTTCTGCCCCCTGATTGTAGCTTTAGCTCTGATTGTCAACAGCAGTTTGTGGGCATTTTCTGAAGCCAGAAACACTTTGCTAGGAAGTATGCTGGCTCAAGATTGCTTCTATTTCTGGAATTTTAAAAATATTTATTTCTTAATTTTATTTTATGTGTTAGACTGTATTACCTTCATGTATGTAAGTGCACCCATATTGTGCAATGTGCATGGAGGTCAGAAGAAGGCATCAGATCACTTGGAACTGGAGTTATGGATGGTTGTTAGCCATCATGTGGGTGATGGGAACCAAATCTGGGTCCTCTGCAAAAGCAGCCAGTGCTCTTAATTGCTGATCCATCTCTCCAGCCTTCCTTCTTTTTAAAAAGATTTTTTATTTATTATTTTATTTCTGGAATTTTTAAAGGGGTATAGGGTCAGTGTAGAGGAGGCCAAGCTATGCCAGAGTCTACCATATCCAGTTTATTCAGTTCCTCTTGGGACTCTCACTTCAGAAGGCCAGTCTGAGTTCCTGCCAACCACCGTCCTTGTGTAAAGAAACATCTCAACCTCCTCAATTCCTCATCTATGCAGTGAAGGTGTGAACGTGTGAAAGTCAACAAAACAAATTAAGTAGGTCACAAAGATAAGTGAATTATTAACCTTTTCAGGTTAATAATTATTAACCATTTCTCTCACATTTTTTAATGAGAAAAACAAGATTGAGCAATGTAAATTTTGTCTGTATTTGAATTAACATGTTGTAAAAATTAATGATTTACTAAAAAAAAAAATTCCTTCACATCTTTGCTTTTCAAGGTCACCTCTCCTCATGCCCTGGTTGCAAGGAACTAGCCATTTCTTGTTGCTATTAAAAATCTTATCTAGAGACAAGATTTGTTAATAATTGACTGATTTTTAAAAAATAAACTCAGCTTGAAGCTACTATTTATTCCCAATTAAATCTAGAAATAACAATAATAATTATACTTCGTACCATCATTACTTCTTAACCTTGTTCCATTTTACCTTAATGATGTATTACATAGCTAATCACCATATTAAATGATACTCTTCCATGGACCTGCCACCAGAGCTAAGTTGAATATGTGTTTTGGAGGAGGTATGTCTACATAGAAGCTTTGGCACTAGGTCTGTGCCAAAACTCCACACTTCCAAATTATGTGATTCCATCCCAAATATTTATCACCTGTAAAATAAGAATTGTAGTCCCTGCCTCCTATGATGGTTGTGGGAGTTCAATGGAATTAAAGATGTATAGACTCCAGCAAAGTCTAGAACATGGAAATTGTTCAATTGATGGTAGCAAATAATGTTATGCTAAGGGGCTTAGGAGATAGCTCAGTAGATAACGTGCTTGCTGATCGAGCATAAAGACCCAAATTCAATCCCCAGTACCCACGTAAAAATCCAGGCATGGTGGCCCATGCTTATAATCTCGACTGGGGACATAGAGAAAAGTGGATGCCTAGGCTCCATGGCCAGTCATTCTAGCCTAATCAGCAAGCCCCAAGTCAATGTCTCCAAAAGAAAGGTGAATGATAACAGGAGCAATATCTGAAGTTGATCTCTGACCTCCACATGCACACTCACTTGCACACCTGGGCACACTCATTTATGAACATATATACACATGCACATGCATGTGCACACACATATTGTTATGTCACAAAACAGAAAATGGTGCCCACCCATCTGACTACAGTTGAACAGCTCAGCTGTGGTATCTGCCATCTGCCATCAGTGCTGTGGCATACCCAGCGGTGGTGGAGGGACTGAATTATTGGTTATTGTGTGAACTTGGCATGAAGAGGGCATAGGCTGGCTTAATGTAGAAGACCAGTCACAGTCATCTGCCTGGGGAGTGAGTCCCTGCTGGATGCTGGCTCTACAGTGATTTTTTTTTTCCCACCACATATGTAGATTCCAGGCCTGACTTTAAAGCCCATGGATGTTTTGTGAAGGTCCTCAGGTGTTGGGGGACCCAGCTGCTAAGAACACTCCCAGGTTCTCTCACTGAAGGAAATGCCACAGCAGATGAGGTAGCCACTGCTGAAACATTCTCTGCCAGCGTAACGGATGCCCAGCACCTCCACCATGCCACCCACGTTAATTTATGAGGGCTCCATCTCAGATTCCCCCACATTCCCCTCAAACAATTTAAACACATTGTTAAAATCTGCTCCTCCTGTATGTCAATGATACATACACCCACTATACAACAGATGGGCACCAACCCTCAGGGGCTAAAATCTAACGCCCTCTGGCAAACAACTAAAGACAGATAATGGCCCAGCATTTACCAGCTCTCCATTTAAAAAATTTTGTGAAGCCTGGAAAATCACCCATCACACTGGCATCCCATATAACCCACAAGGACAAGCCATTGTGGAAAGGTCACATAAAACCTTAAAGACCAACTACAAAGACAGGCCCAAACAATGTATTCTCCCAACATTCAGTTAGCATTAGCCTTGTTTACCCTTAATGTACTCAATGTATATCAAGGCTCTGATGCCTCCCCATTGCTCGACACTGGGCCCAGACACACCCCATACCACCTACCATGGTTAAATGGGGGGGACCCCCTCAGTGGAATCCGGAAAGGACCAGATCCATTACTGACCACAGGGAGAGGATTTGCTTGTGTTTTTCCACAGGATCAATCAAAGCCTATCTGGGTTCCAGCCAGAAATGTCCAGCATCCCCCTGCCCACAAAAAAGATGGCTCGCGTGACTCTGTTGGAGACAACACAAAGGAAGAAAAGGAAATGACACCCGAAACCACACTGGATCACATGGAAAGAGATCCATGATCTGGTGGATACTGCCCACTGTAGATGCCCCCCCTCCCCCGAGCTTCCTTCTCTGTCATTCTCATGGCCATTTTTACCCTACTTAACACCAATGCTTCGGCCAGGCCCCCTCCCCCCAATACTATGCTCTGGAGATTTTATGTCAGGAAAACATATCAAGGGAAAAATCAATTAATCAGAACCAAAGATTGCCCCTTAGTGGGCTGTCAAAAGCCCATAGAAATCATAATATACCCAAATGCTAGCAGATACAACACTGATGAATATATTTGCTTTCCTTTCTGACAGACAGATCCATCATGCCTCAAGGAAGTTGATACCTATGGGGGCTGCCACTATCTCAATCCCTGTAGGTTGGAACTAGGATTGACTGGGGAATATCAGGGTATGACATGACAGGAAAGACCCATCTACCTGAAAGATAGTAAGTATCTCTATGGATACCATGACTATACTCTAATATATGTTGCAGATCCATGGGACAATTGATGGTATGTTGGAGTGATGGGAAAGTTGTACCCAGGCACATTCTCTAGCTACCCTACCATTGATTTTCATATCTCTCCACAGCTTGTACCTGCAGCTAAGCCTATGGTGACTCATCATAATATTATTCTACAGGAAAAACAGAGGAACAGATAAGATCACCAATGTCCTGGAGCCAATACATTCAATACATTGCTGACTTCCTTCCCTTTACCACCCACCCTAATGCCTGTAACTGTTCCTTTTGTGCATCCAGCAGTAGACCTTTACTGACAGCAGTACCGGTTAATACCACCCTTCTTTACCCCAAAACAACAAAAGATTTCACCAACTCTCACCTGTAGGATATTCCCTTATTTGAACAACTGTCTAACTATCCAATTTGCATTTCCGCTAAAAATAAGCCTACTCATTACAAATGCCTCACTAATGTTACTCTCTCCAGGACAGCATGCATTGCCCCTCCTCTTTTTCTATGGTGCAAAGGAAAAGCCCAACACTGTGTTAACTCCTCTTTGTCCTTTTAAGTACCTGTAATGATTACCCCCCCAGGTATACCTGTTTGAGGAAGAAAAAGCTGCCCTCCTCTTGGACTCACCCTCTCTCTTTGGGTGCTGGAGACGTGGTGACTGCTGCCATTGTACAGACCCATCACCTGGCAGGGGATTTTTGAGACAAGCTCGATCAGGCAATGACATCCACTACTGACAGCCTTGAGTCTCTCCAACAACAGATGAACTCTCTTGCCAGGGGGTTGTGCCCCCAAACGGAAAAGCACTAGACCTAATAACTGCCTAACACAGGGGGTTGGGGTGGTGGTGGAGGGTGTAGTATTGGGAGAAGAATGCTGTTTTTTTGTAAATGAGTCAAATGTTGTTGAGACCAATGTTAACACTCTCAAAAAACTTTGTAATGATCTATTTTCAAGATTTCAACCCACCGAACAATTAGGTTGGTTTAGTAATCCCTTGTTTTCATGGCTCCTACCCTTTGTTTGCCCCCTGATCATGCTGTGTGTCATTTTGATGCTTGCTCCCTGTTTCATATGATTTCTTCGCCAACAAATTACTACCATTGCAAAAATTACTACCAAACAGGTCATGGTCAATTATCAGACTTTGGATTCTCCCGATATAGATGAGTTGGCTCTTAAAGCTTGTGATGACACTTCTCCATTATAAAACCAAACAGAGGGAGATGTTGGGGGGCCCTGCTGCTAAGGTTGCAGTCCACTATGTCCGGATAGCTCTACAGAGCTTGGTGCTGAATGAAGGACTCCCTTTCACAGCAGGGGCTTCCTGCTCTCTGCCTGACCTTATTTGGAAAGCATCTCCAAGCACAGATGCCTGACCTTATTTGGAACATGACCTTTGGCATAGTTACCTGCAAAAAACTGCCCCTAGGTTTTTTCTGTATGATAATTAGGTATTGCACTATAGCCAGATAATAGGGTCCTCCTGCCACATGTAAATAAAGCATACTATGAGCACCTATCAGGTAAAGCTTTGGCTGCCATCTTCACCCTATATTTTGCCCCTGAGCCCTGCTGAATAAATGAGCTCTCTCACTGAAGCTGACTCCCGGAAGGTCTTTTCCATCATACTCATGGGCTGTCCTGACCCAGCTTGCCACCTCTGCTCCCTTTGTTCTCACGGGTCAGTGGCCAATGACCCACGAGGTAAGGGAGAGACCCACGCTCTAAGTGGCATTACTGATATTCAGCCCAGGCCAGGACTGGACACTCTGGCTCTGCCCTCCATCTCTCCCCAGATCCACAACCAAGGAGGGACCATTCATATCAACCTTCAAAGAAAACGTATACTTAGAAAATCCTAGGATTTGGAAGGCTGTTTACCGTCAAGGCTGGATTAGAAGTGGGAGTGGTCTCTTAATTGTGGGACCAAGTTCTGGCATCAGATATGAATAACCTGTCTTCCATGCTCCAGTCACTGACTTCTGCATATAGACTGTTAGTATCAGGACTTTCAGAGTTTCTGCAGCCACCCAGGCTGCACATGAGCTGTAAATGCAGTGCTTGCCACTGCCTAGAAATGCCCTTCTGGCTCCAGTCAGCCTTCCATCCAGAAGACACCGGCTCTACCTTAACACCCTCACCCTTGTCTTGTGATTAATTAACTGATTCATTAATTCATCAATTGATTCACTCAATAAATAGTTATGGAGCTATCACAGAGAGTGAGTCCCACCCATATGTTTGGAAAGTCTTATGAAAATGTCCTGAAGTGGCTCTTTGTTAGACCCAGGATTCAGGATCCCTGTGCTAAGGATTCTCATTCAGGAGTAAGAACTTGAGCCAATGGGTATCCCATATTTCTCTAGCACCTTTGAGCCCATAAAGCTTTTTTCTTTTTTAAAATTTTATTTATTTTTATTTATGTATATGTGTGTGTGTGTGTGTGTGTCTGCTTGTCTATATGTGCACCATGTGTGTGAAGGTGCCTATGGAATGGGGTAGTAGATCCCCTGGAACTAAAATTATAGGTGGTTGTGAGCCACCCAATGTGGGTGCTGGGAACTGAACCTTGGTCCTCTGCAAGAGCAGCAAGTGTTCTTAACCACTGAGCCACTTCTCCAGCCTTGTAAAGCATTTTTGTAGGAACCAATTGTTTACTCCACTTACCCTGAGCCATAGTGTATTAATCAGGGTTCTCCAAAGAAACAGAACTAGTAGAATGAATATATATGTATAAGGATTTATCAGCTTAGCTCACAAGATAGAGTCTGAGTAGTCCATCAATGGCTGCACCATACTGGAGAGGCTGAGACTCCATAGTCACTCAGTCCACAAGGCTGGATGTCTCAGTAGTCCCAATCTGGCACTGATGGTCTGACAAATTCCAAAAGATCGGCTAGTCTTCAGTCTACAGCAGCAAGATGAACTCACCAGTGAGAGAGAAGGCAAGCAGCAAAAAGCAAAAATGTTCTCCTCTGATGGCCCTTTATACGGGCTGCCATCAGAAGGTAACACCCATATTTAGGGTGTGTCTTCCCGCTTCAGATGATCCAATTAAGAAAATCTCTCTCATTTCCGTTAATCCCAGATCCAATCAAGTTGACACCCAGGATTAGCCATCACACATAGCATCTAAGTATTTACAGCTCAACTTTAATAAAGAAAAAAGTGAACAGCACGGACTCAGTTCTAGGAAAAGGCTGTCTGTGTGTGTGTGACGCCTGTTCTACTAGTGGAGGCAACCTGCTGTGGTTTCCAGTAGCTTACTGCAGGCCTCCATATAAGCCTAATTGATTTCTTTACTTTCTAAGAGGCATGTTCATTTAGAGAACTGTACAGCCATGGCAGGACCTGCCTCAGAAAGTTCCCATCTGGCTCCTCTGCCCTAGCAGTCCTGAGGTGTGGGATGTCTATTATACTGTAGCCTGTTGTCGCCATCTAGCGGTAAACATGACACTTACAGCCATGACCTCCAAGAATAGAGTTCCTTAGGAAGAGTTGGATTAGCACCATGGGTTTGAAAACAATCTTGAACTTCCCTCCTGCTCCATCACCCTGACATATCCTTTTGATAAGTTTAGATAATATGTCATCGGCTATTATTTTTAGCATTCATGAATGTCAGTGTCCTTTTCCTCTCTTTTCTCTAGTCACCCCCCTTTTGCTGTGTGTGTTATGCACACTTGTATGCATGTGTGGGGGTGCGTACGAGCAGGTGCACTTACATGTGGAGGCCAGAGGTCAATGCTGGTTGTCTTCCTCAATCACTCTCCACTTTATCTTTCAAAATCAATCACAGTTTGTTAGACATAGAAAAAACTGATTCCTCAAAGTCAATTCTTACTAAATTCACTGGAAAATAATACCCTTGAACAACAACAACAAAAATCGCTATACTTTTGGCCCAAGATATTTTCCCCTTCTTCAGATGGCAGATGTATACACCCAAAATCTGCAGCCAAACCTACAAGTGCTAGCCTCAAATGTGCATCCTAAAAACAGAAGTGCTAACCAGAAGGCACTGCCAAAACTGGAACAGGGTGGCTTTGAGCCCCAGGGAATCTGTATAGAATCGCCAGCCCCTCCCCAGTCCTTGCTGGAGTTATGCAGCTCGCCGGTTTGTTCCACAGTTGGCATTTTCCCTCTGTTCGGCAGTGGATTGTCGTAGAGCCACTGCCATGAATAGGCATGGAGGAGCATAGACAGACAACGCTCCACTTTATATTTTGAAACAAGGTCTTACTGAAAACCAGATTTCACAGATTGTCTAGGCCAGCTAGTCAGCAGGCCCTGGAGATTCCCCCCCACCCCATGTCCCACCCCAGCACAGGGATTACAGGCAGGCCCTGCAGTATCTGGCTTTTTACATGAGTGCTGGGGATCTGAACTTGGGTCCTCATGCTTGTATTGCAAGCACTTTGCCCACTGAGCCATCTCCCAGCCCTCTCTAGTCACATCTTACATAGTAGTTTTTCTTTAAACCTTTTTTTAAAAAGTCAGAAACAAACTGTGAGTTTAATCCCTTAATATCTGTGAAGTGTCTAGTATGGACACATCCAGGCCTGTGATTGCATTGTCACCTTGCACTGAGTTAAATGGTTATTCCTCTCCCAAATGAATATGACCTAATTCCTTGGAACCTGCGGATGTAAGTTTATTTGGAAAATGATTTTTACAGATGTAATTAAGTTAAGGATCTTGTGATCAGACCACCCTATCTTATCTGAGTAAACCTGAAATCCCAAAACAAATTGCAATAGGATACATTGCAATTCTTTTTGGGAAAAACCCTATACCATTTTGTGGAATCTTTCTTGTTATACAAAGAAGCTTAGTCCAGAGCTGACTGTCAGAGGGGTTGATATACTAAAGTACTTTCCACAGTACTTAACAGTGGACCGAGGAACTGGGTATTCTACACAGGGTCTCATAATGCTGCAAACCAGGTACCCAGCAGGGCTGCGGTCTCATTCTGGGGTCTTCTTCCAAGCCATCATGGTGGTTGGTAGACTCATGCCTTTGCAGCCAAAGAATTCACTGTAATTTTCTTCTTTAAGAGGGGTGCATCTATGATCTTAGAAAATATCTAAATAGTCTTCTAAAGGGCTCACCTGATTAGATCAGGCTCACCCAAAACACTTGCTCCTTGATTAACAGTCATTTAAGAAGGCAAAGTTCTGACTAGAGGCTTTAATCATATCTTCAAAGTCTTTCCATCTATGTGGTGAAATGTAACCTGAGTACAAGAGCCACATTTGTCATGTTTACAGTCTGCCCAAACTCAGGGGAAAGGGGTGCACATAGATGGAGGGATCTTGGCTGCCATACTAGAATCCTTTCTACTGTGCTTATATCAATACTTTTATTGTGCTCTAAAGAGCAGAGACAAGGTGCTTTTTTCTGAGATTGTGGATATTCATTGAATCCATGCTTTCACCGTCACCAGATCAGAGTTCGGCTGGGCAAGACACTGGATGAGATCGTCCGCATTCTTTCAATCATGATAAAGTAACTTTTTTGCCTTTTAGAAATTACTTACATTGCCTTCTTATATCCCAGTCAGAAACATGTTTTATTTTCTAGTAAATGCAAAGTGAGGTTTAGGGTGACCAGGGAACAGCCCTAACCAGTTCACAACTCTGAGATCTCATCATGCTACTTATACAGGGGAAAATAATGTTAGTAGAGTTCTCAATGTGGTCACACTTGTAGTCAGCGGAGGCAAACCTTACAGAATGCTACAGCATGGGCATCTCAACATCAGAAATTTATTTTCTCATAGCTCTTGAAGCTGGGAAGGTAAACATCAAAATATTAGCAATGTTGGAGTCAGAGGGGGG